CTACGTTAGCTTTTCCGTTACTTCAGGGCAGGCGTAATTTTTTGCGCAAAAACATCCTCCAATTATCGGACAGGTCCCTGGTGCTTCGCGGGTGTGAAATTCGCTACGAACGATTATAAAATAGCTGTCTTTCAACGTTAGAAGAGTCTATTCGTGTATAGTACATGTTTTTCCCCCAGTGCTTTGTTCTTCTCGCAGGACAACGCCCCCGCAATACTTAGGGATATAAGCCAGCTATAGACAGTGGAGCTCAACAACTCAAATCTTGATGTGAAAAGTAGCCAGCAATAGCTGGGTCATTGGTGGCTAAGAAAGTGATATGTGAACAATGGAGAAATCAATGGCAAATTTTGCAAACCCACTGAACTTCGTGAGTAGAAGAGAAGACTTCATCTGGTATGTCCATGCATTCCTTATGATACCAAACATGGCATTCATCGCACTGTACCCAATTAAAGCGATCACTGTGTGGCATTCGGCATACACAGTGCAGCTCAACCTTGGTCAGGTTACTGGCTTCTGCTAGTCCTCGACCAACGTGCCGTCAAATCAGACACCAAATCTATGGAGGTCAACCAGAAACTGACAAAAACCTGACTGGTACAGCCACAACCTTACACTGCTTTCAACCGAACGACCAGACCCCACCTCAGTAGATGAAGTCAATTCAAGTCCTGATAAACACGTGGAGAAAGGCCACGGAAAAAGAAATGGCATCTCTTCAATCGAATGAAATCTGGGAGTTGGTAGAGCCGCCACCAAATCGAAGGATCATTGGCAGCAAATGCGTTTTCAAGAGAAAAGTCAATGCAGATGGAGAAGTGGAGAGATACAAGGCCCGACTGGTTGCTCAAGGCTGCACTCAGAGGTTCGGTCTCGATTATGAAGAGACCTTCAGTCACTGTTGTTCGCTTCGAATCCATCAGATCTGCTATAGCGTTGGGGGCTCAACACAAGCTGCAGCTACACCAGATGGACGTATCCACTGCCTTACTTGGAGCAGACTGGGCTGGCGATGTTGGAGACAGAAAATCAACCTCTGAGTACTTGTTCCTTCTGGGAGGTGCTGCTATCAGCTGGAAGAGCAGCAAACAGACCTGTGTGGCTCTCTCCACTGCCGAAGCAGAGTATGTTGCACTGGCTGCTGCATCCCAAGAAGCCATTTGGCTTCAGCAACTCATGGGAGACCTGTTAAACGAGAGCATCCGAGAAACAACGATCCTCGAGGACAACCAGTCTGCCATATGCCTTGCCAAGAACTAGAGCATTCAGGGAAGCACCAAACATATAGACATTAAAATACCACTTTATCCGTGATGCTGTGGAGGCTGGAAAGATCAAACTGGTATACTGCGCTTCAGAAGACATGATCGCTGACATGGGTGTAGTCATGCTCACTAAAGAGCTCTATCAGACAATTCACGAAACTCAGAAGACTGGCTGGGGTTAGTGAATTGGGTTGGAGAGAGAGTGAGGAGTGTGGTGAAAATGTGACTCTCACCAATCCAGACTGTTACGTAACTTGGAACACTCTTACTCATTGTTATGCAATCACTATTGTGCCTTTGTGCACCAAGAACATTACACCTGTATCTCTGTGTCTCTAGAACGTTCTAGACAAATAGCCTCAATGCATAATAAGTCTGTGTTTTTTTCACTCAGCAAATAATATTCTTGAAAGCCATCAAGGTTAGACTGCATACCCTTGTACACTGATTTTTTACGAATGCTTTGTCATGACTCTAAATAAGTTATACGCTTGTCGTATTTAGATAGCCTTGGGAGACCTTTTTCATGACTCGGAATTTACTCTGGTTGTTAAGGACTGTCAGCAGAAGCTTTATCAGAAGTTGCAACTACGTACTACGCCAACAAACACTTTAAAATTATGGAGGTAGAGCACGACGAGTGACATTGCCGTCAGTGCATGGATAAAATCAGATACCTTTGATGCTTTGTGTCCCGTGGTATGAAACACGGACACACACCAAGACCTATAAATGTCATTGCTCTCTTATTTTCTCCGAGGTTCTGATGTCTTGGTAGGTACAAGGTTGTATATTTCCAGTTAAGGAGGCGATGGAGAAAGTCGCCAGGGAACTGCAGTGGACTTGTCGGTTACACAGTAGAAAGTGTGAAAAATAGTCATTTTTTTGCGCCATTGAACATCTAGGGGTAATACTATTGGATAGTGGGGCTGTGTGTTGCGTTGTCAATAAAAATGAGCGGATGCATTTAATTAAGCCTGTTCAAATGGACGTTTGTCAATTTATTATGTCATTCTTTTTTCACACACCTGTACATTGCTCCCAGCAATTATAATGCAGCACTGAAGTAGCTCAGATTAAAAAAAAGGTTGAGCATGCTTATGAGTTAGTGGCTTTAAGGGAAATGGTTCCTCAGGAAAATTTTTATATTATGCAAGATTACAAAATACCAAGTTACTTAGAACTAAAGCGCAAGCTATCTGCACACAAAAATCATGCGCATGTGAAAACTACTATAATACGCATTGAAACACCAATATGCATGAGTGGGTCGCTAATTGATTGACTGGGGCATGCTGTTGATTCATGCATGGTTTCCTCATAGCTCATTGACAGTTCGACAGGTGATAGTGTTTTAGGCATTGCGGTAGCTACTAAAATACTCATCTTCCATCGTAACTTTTGATGCCTCCACAGTACATAACACTGGGGGAATCTAAGCCCGTGGTAATATGCATATTCGCTTCTTCACCTACTTTTCACATCATAAAACACTGGCATCAAAAGCAAGTCAACAAGCCAATATGCAAATTAGCACAGGTTTACCTCGACCGCATCCATTCTGTGTATCTTGAAGGCACAATAAGTCACAACGAAGGACATGTATCGACTTCCGCATGCTATCTACAAGACTGTGCCAGACTCTCCGCGAGCTACTAGCGGGACACCACGAGTAAAGGAATAAAAAGCCCAGCCCATTATTGGTGGTATCGCGCATGCGCCGAGGGTTTACACTTTAGTGCTTTTCATTACTGTCAGAAATGATTTCAATATTATTTACACGCTGCCTAGATCCTCGTCCATTATCCGGTATTCGCTGCACTCTTCTGTGCCTGACCAAGGCTGTACCTCTTCTGGTTCCCAGGTGCAAGTTGTAAATAGGATGGCTGAAATAGTCATTTTGTGCTCGCTCCCGCTCGCCAAAAATGCCAAGCATTCACCGACTATATAGTACTATGCAAGAGTACAATATACCGAGTTACTAAGACCTAAAGCCCAATGCCCTCTGCACACTAATAACATGTGCATGTGAAAACTACTATAATATGCACTGAAACACCAATATGCATGCGTAAGTCCCACACTGATTGATTGGGTCAAGCTGTTGATTCATGCCCTATATCGTTGAGTTGATAGCGCATTAGGCATTGCTGGACTCGATCTCGTCCTCCGCTGTTAATGCTCAGTACACAATGCTGGCAGAATGCAGCCGATATAAGCCATTGGCTTGTCCGCCTACATTTGATGCCATAAGTATCTTAACGAAAATCTCCAGTTTCAAATGAAGTCTCAAGTCTGTTAGTATCGCTACTTGGCAGCTTCGTTGCGCACTAAGGCAGAAAAGACTAACAAACATCCTGACACACAGACCAAATGCTGTAACCCTCGCTGCACATGCACGCCGAGAGCAAATAACACACCTCCTAGGAACTTCTCTTGTACTGCTTTGGCTGCTTTGATGTCTCCTATCATATTGAGGGCCTGGTGCAGTAGACTCCATGATGCAAGAGGATGTGTTGTGTACCACAGCTGAAGTATGGCTTCTTTTTGCTCTTTTATGCTCTTATGTAACTGTCTAATTTTGTGAAACTTGGTTTGTGGGTCACGAATTCCCAGCAGCACTCCGAGACCCTCATGATCCTGTACACTTTCTGTCATTGACAGGACATTGGCCATTGTAAAACTTTCATCTGCAGGAGAGAGAATATTTAATGTTCAAACCTTCCAATTTAAAACAAGATCCTTAAAAGAGGGCTGATTACATAACAATTACGCATAAACAAGGTTGTAGCGACTCCAAATACCATCCGACTGATTCAATACACATACAAAGTACCTTATATATGTTCTACGTAAGTTCTCGAATGTTCCATGCACGTGTACATAGGTCAGGGCCGTACACGTGTATAGGTCAGAGGTCGTGCACGTGTATAGGTCAGAGGTCGCCACATCACTCCCCCCCCAGTGAGCTAGTGAACGAAGCTCATTAGTCGTTTAGGGAAGTGGACACGTCTGCCAGAGCGAGTGGTCCGAGTAGGCTCCGACAATGGTGTTGGTGAAGTAGGCTGCGAAAGAGAACTGGAATCCGTATCCCCAGGTGTAACATCGAGATAGGCTGGTTTGAGACGGTCCAATGACACTGTGTCCTTGCGCCCATCATAGTCCAATGTGAAGTATTTCTCGGCTCTGTCGAGGACTCTATAGGGACCATTGTAAGTGTACTGGAGTGGCTTGCGCACCCTGTCGTTGCGGACAAACACATGAGTGCCTGAGAAGAGGTCCTTGTCAATGTGTACCTTGCGCTGTGGGTTGGAGCGGACTGGAGGTGGCTTTAAATTACGCATGGCATCCCGTAGACGTGCAACGAATGATGTCGGGTCCGTGATTCCAGACTGGGTTTTCTCGAAAAATTCCCCTGGAAGACGCAGCATTGTACCATAGAGGAGCTCTGCCACACTGGCCTGTAGGTCTTCTTTGAGTGAGGTACGAATGCTGAGAAGTGCCAGTGGCAGTATCTCCATCCAGTTACTCGTGTGATTCTGCCCTCTGAGGGAAGACTTGAGTTGGCGATGAAATCGTTCGATCATGCCGTTTGCGATGGGGTGATAGGCCGTCGCCCGGAGGTGTTTGCACCCTAGGAGCTGTGTCAAAAGCGCCCAGAGTCGAGACTCGAACTGTCGACCTCTGTCGGTGGTGACGGTTTCTGGCACACCAAAACGTGCAACCCAGCCACTAACGAAGGCTAGCGCGATCGTCTCGGCAGTGATGTCTGGTACAGGGGAAGGCTTCGGGCCAGCGGCTGAACCGATCGATGCAGGTTAGGAGGTAGCAGCACCCCCGAGAGGGTGGTAGAGGGCCGACAATGTCAATGTGGACCTGACGGAAGCGGGCGTCCGGAGTTGCGAAAGTCGACAGAGGGGTGACGGTGTGACGGTGGATTTTAGCTCGCTGACAGTGAAGGCACGACTTGGTCCATGACCTGATGTCCTTGTTCATTCCTGGCCAAACGAACCGCTCGGTGACAAGTTGCTGGGTTGCATTGATCCCTGGGTGAGACAGAGCATGGAAAGAGTTGAACACAGCCCGTCGGAAGTCGACTGGTACAAAAGGCCGGGGATTGCCTGTGCTGATATCGCAGACGAGTGTAGTAGGTGATGCTAAGTGTGGCACCGTGTTGAGCTGTAGGGATGAGGAGGGTGAACTCTGGAGTGCTCTGAGCTCTGGGTCTGTTGATTGTGCCTTGGCCATGGCCTCGAAGTCAACGGCTGGTGGCTGGGTCACGTGTAAAGCGTTCACAGATGCCCGTGAGAGCGCGTCTGCCACAGGGTTTGCACTACCACTCACATGCCTGATGTCGGCCGTGAACTGAGAGATGAAGTCAAGGTGACGCGTCTGTCTGGGTGTGTATTTGTCTGAGTGGGTGGACAGTGCAAAGGTTAAGGGTTTGTGGTCCGTCAAAACAAAAAACTCACGTCCTTCGACGAAGTGCCGAAAGTGCTTGATAGCCAGGTAGATGGCCAGCAGCTCTCGGTCGAAGGTGCTGTACCTTGTCTCTGCTGGGCGCAACTTCCTGGAGAAGTATGCAATAGGGCACCATCTGTTATCCATGTATTGCTGCAGTACGGCTCCAACGGCGCGATCTGAGGCGTCAGCCATAATGGAGGTTGGGGCATGGGGTTTGGGATGCACCAGGAGGGTGGCGTCAGCGAGAGCTTGTTTGATTGCGTTGAAGGCAGTGATAGACTCCTCATTCCAAGCCAAGTGACGAGGGGTACTCTCTGGCGAGCTGAGGAGCCTGTTGAGGGGTTCCAGAGTGTTGGCACAATTGGGGATGAAGCGATGGTAAAAATTGACGAGCCCGAGGAATTCACGTAGCTTCCTGAGCGATGTTGGCTGGGGGAAGGAACGAATGACACTGACTTTCTCTTGCAACGGCTGGATGCCTTGTGCACTGACACGGTGTCCCAGAAAGTCGAGTTCTGAGACCCCGAGAACACACTTTGCCGGATTGATGACCATGCCGTGGTCACTGAGACGTTGCAGTAGTTGTCTCAGATGCATCTTGTGCTCTTCCCGGGAAGTGCTGGCAATGAGGATGTCATCAATGTAAGCGTAGCAGAAAGTAAGGCCGCGTAGTACTTGATCAATGAAACGTTGGAAAGTTTGGGCCGCGTTGCGAAGGCCAAACGGCATGCGAAGAAATTCGAAGAGGCCAAATGGTGTTGTAACTGCAGTTTTTGGGATGTCTGATGGTTCAACTGGGATTTGGTGATATGCCCTGACGAGGTCGATCTTGGAGAACATCCGAGCTCCATGTAGTGACACCGCAAAGTCCTGAATGTGTGGAATGGGGTAGCGATCATGGACGGTTACGTGGTTCAGAGCCCGGTAGTCACCACACGGACGCCAGTCACCCCGAGGTCTTCTTGGGCACCATATGGAGGGGTGACGCCCAGCTGCTGGAGGATGGTCTAATGATGCCCAAGTTCAAGCATGTGGTTGAATTCTTCACGGGCGATCTTGAGTCTCTCTGGAGCGAGGCGTCTAGTCCTTCCAGCAACTGGGGGCCCTGTTGTGGTGATATGATGTGTGACGTCATGCTTGGTTGGCTTTGCCACGTTGCCGGGTTGAGAGACCGCTGGGAACTCGGCCAGAATAGCTTCGATGTCGTTAGCTGGTCTCCTGGGGAGCAGCGTTGGGCTTAGGGATATCTCCTGTGACCTGATTCCCTGTACCACGAAACTGGTAGTGGGGTCCACCAGCTTGTTGCGTTGTAGATCTACCAGCAGTCCGAAATTCCGCAGGAAGTCTGCTCCTAGGATCGGCGTTGACGTTTCTGCGACAATGAAAACCCAGCGGAATGTGCGGCGCAACCCAAGGTTGAGCGTGTGAGAGCGTGTGCCAAATGTTCGGATAGGAGTGTTGTTTACGGCTTGCAGAGTGAGGCCTGCGCGGGGGTGCTTACGTTCCTGTGGTGTTGGAGGGAGGACACTCACTTGAGCACCGGTATCGATGAGGAAACGTAGGCCTGTGTCTCGGTCTGTAATGTAAAATAGGCGACTTGGTTGTAGGCCAGTGACGTTTGTCGCCGCTAACGACTGGCCGTGTCGTTTCCCGACTTGTCGCAAGGAGGGGTGCAGTTCCGGGCTCGGTCTCCGAAACGTCTGTGATACCAGCAGAGAGCAGAGGGTGTGGAAGACGGGGGTGGCGGTGATCGCAGTCGTGGTCGACGCCGTCCAGGTGAGGAAGAATGCATACGCCTACCCGGTGATCGGCTTCTAGCGGAGAGAGTAGAGACGAGGTCAGCTAATCGTTTGACTTCTGCACGCAGGGAGTCCACTGTGTCCGCAGAAGTGACTGCGGACAGGTTGGGCGGAGCGGTGTCTACGATCCTGTCCGCTAGCTCTGCGATCTCTTCCAGGCTCCTGTCTGCTACGGACGAGGCTAGCGCCGTGCGAACGTTGATGGGCAGGCGTTGGAGGAAGAGTTCACGAACGAGGGGACCTTCCGCTGCGGTGGCGCTGTCGCCGAGCAACTGTTGCATCCGTCGGAGTAGTTGCGTGGGCTTGCGGTCGCCCAACTCCAAGGCGTGGAGAAGTTGCTGGAGTCTGCGTTGCTCGGGGAGGCAGGTTCGCTGAATGAGTTGCTGTTTCAGGGTGTCGTACGGGTTGTCGGGCACGCGAAGGATGATGTCGCGAACTTCGGTGGCGAACTCGGGTGATAGTGAAGCGACCACGTAGTCGTATTTCGTCCTCTGCGCAGTTATGCCGCGCGTGCTGAACTGCGTCTCAATCTGGGCAAACCAGACGTCTGGGTCAGCCGGCCAGAAGGGCGGGAGCTTGAGTTGAACTGCAGCTGTGACAGCTCCTGCGTCTCTAGCTCTAGCTCTGTCATCGAGGGCCATCGTTGCGTGTTCGGGTCACGTCGTGGTCACCAAAATGTAGCGACTCCAAATACCATCCGACTGATTCAATACACACACAAAGTACCTTATATATGTTCTACGTAAGTTCTCGAATGTTCCATGCATGTGTACATAGGTCAGGGCCGTACACGTGTATAGGTCAGAGGTCGTGCACGTGTATAGGTCAGAGGTCGCCACAAGGTCCTTAAAATGACTAAATAACAATGATGCGACACTGTAGCTGTATATTTCACCATTCTAAGTAGGCTAAAGAGAATAAATCATGTACGTAGCACAAGTTTTATCATGCAGGCTCCTACCCAACTACTGTAGTGCACCTGATTGATGGTCTCACCATCATTGTTCAGGTGATAATAAAAACTAGGTCCTAAAGGCAGAGCCTCTATAGGCAACGCAATTGATTATTGCAGTGAGTACTGTAGTACAATGTATGACTTAACAAATGCATACATCACTACACACTTACGTAAACAAGGGTTAAGCAGCATCAGTGACTAGCATTACAAGCACTGCTACAATAGATAATCGTCCTCAGAGTAACTTTCATGCACCTCATGGTGTGTTAAACAGGAAAACACTGAGGTAGTATTGCTCGTTGGCTTTTTAATCGTGTATTATGCCCTTAATCTTAAACACAGTGGTATCAGGAAAATCGATTTACGCAACTGCAGTTCTGAAGCCATATGTTTCACTCTTTTGTCCTAGCTTGTAGTGGCGGAATAGCAGTAACAGAGAGACTGAAAGAGAGAAACTCAGACAAACAGACAAACCGTCGAGTGTTAATAACTGCAGGTATGAAGTAAATACTTCGGCTTGACATTGCCATGGTTACAGCAACATTGTCAGTGGCATATCCAGGGGGGTTTCTTTGGTTGCAGTGGAAACCACCTTTTTGACAAAACTTCATGCGGTTCAGGCCACGGGGCGCCACGTTAATGTTAATTGCATTTGGGTGCTATACCTGCTCGTGCATATAGCTAAGCTGTTCATCGTCCGATGGCTAAAATGATCAATGTCTACTCGTGACATATCATCCTTTCGACTGCTGCTTCAGTGAGCACAAAATGATAAATACTCTACATGTACATGCAATGTTATGCACTATGCATGCGTAAAAATGTGTACTTGAAGGCTGGGCATGCAATGCTGGGTGTTATACACTCACGGGACAAGATTCCGTTCACTTAGTCACAGCCACCGAAAACAGTGGCAAACCATCGGCTGGTATACATGTTTCGAATGAAACGTACTGCACAGGCACACATGCAGGTAACAAGGACAGACTGGGGACGGGGTCGGAGCTACTTGTGGGGGGGGGACGGGATGATCCAACCGCCATAGATTTACTACTAGAATGATCTTGCTCTGACCACCTAAATTTATTAAACCATCCATCTCACTCTGTCCTCTTGACAATAGCCGATAATTAAACTTTACAATAGAGTTTATATATACTTGCTCCCCCTATTATTATTTTTGCCCATTATATTACATACAGTTCCTTTCATGCTCAAACAAGGGCTAAGCAGCATCAGTGAGTAGCATTTTGAGTGCCGCTAGATTAGATAATCGTCTTCAGAGTAACTTTCATGCAACTAATGGTGTGGTATACTGGAAAACACTGAGATAACATTGCTCATTGGCTTTTCGTGCATTATGCCATCAATATTAGACACAGTTGTTTTCGGAAAATCTCGCTATAGGCAATAGTATCACTCTTTTGTCTTCTCATAGCCTGTAGCGCCAGAATAGCGGTAACAGAGAGACTGCAGACAAAAAGACAGACAATTACCCAAAAACCACCGAAGGTTAATAAATACAGGTATCAAGTAAACACTTCTGCTTGACACGGCCATGGCTATACAAATATTGTACTAATGTGACAGCAGCTGAAGTGAGGCACAAACAGATAGTCAAGGCTGGAAACTAAATTTAGCTCCTGAAATGGCTGCATGAATTTAAAAGACAAAAACTGACATTTGAAATTTAATACATAACACTAATACTAGCCAATGTAACAACAGAAGCCTTACAACTTTCACCAGGGAAGGGTACAATGAAAGTATTGACCTCAGACATTAGAAACTTTGGAAACTGCCTTACTCTGTACAGTACTACACATGGTTAAGGGTAACTCAGAAAAGATTGCAGATTACGTAGTAATCTATATAGGGCAGTGTTTGGGCTAGAATTATCAGCCCAGATAGTTTCGAAGATCATTGGTTCACTTGAAAAAATTACTAACACACATAAGGATATTTAAAAGCTGCCGTAGGCAAAACAAATTTAAATCGTAAGTGGGTATAAGCTATAGCTCTTTCAGTCCAGATTGTAAGGCTTAAGGCTTTTGAAAAAAACTACGTAAACAAAAACCTAGTGGATGTGTATCATACAAGGTAGTGCATGAGCTCAATTCCACGCTTCAGAAAGACTACATATCAAAGCCAAAAAACCTTGCGAAGTGTACGTTTATTGCACTTAAACCTGTAACGAAGACTAGCCAAGGGAACGACAACTGGTTACCTTGATTAGAGAGTAGTTTCAGTTCCTTCAACCTCCGCAGTGCCCCATCTAGAGTGGAGAGTAAAGAGCTATGGCCAATTTCTGCCAGGAGGCAGTTGGGTTAGAGAGCAGCCAGAGTTTCATTCCTGTGAGAGGGTGGCTGTCTTCTCTTGTGTGTCGATGTGGGACTCCCAGCTCCCTCTCCAGAGTGGGAACATGTGTCTGGGAACTGAGTCCTCCAAACATTCTTCACATTAGCCACTGTCAGAGTCACCTCTGCAGATATACAACAACTAAGAGTCATCGTTCTCCA